TATTAAAGTTTTATAAAAAGAATGTGAGTTTTGTGTATGAAATTTGTGTAAAAGAGGGAGGGAAGGGATCTATGATTTCTAGGTAGTCTGAAAATGAAAATGTGTACGGATTTGATGAGGCTTTAACTTCATGAATCAACAACTTGAGTTTGATTCTGAATTACTTTCCAACTGAACATATTTGGAATTGTTGATGGTGGCATTTCAAATCAAGACTTTTTGAAATATGACATCCAATACTGTCATAAAAATCACTTTATCCATAAGTTCAAGTTAATTGTTCAACTTTGAAGAAAACTTAAGCAATTTCGCAAGTACTATTATTGTAGTCTGAAAGATGAAACCAAAAGTTAAATGGTCTGCAAAGTCTTCTGGTGTCTGAACTGACTACAGCACCATGCAAATGTTCAGGCTACGACACGTTTACATTATCAATATGTACGCATTGGGAAGTTTCTTGAGATCACAAATTATTGTTAGGAGACTACTAGTCAACTTTTCACTTATTGTTTTAGAATATAAAATTACATCCCTCAATCCTCACCAAGAACTTCGGAGTTTTGGTGTAGTGGCAGGGAACCCAACTTCAATTCCCATTGGCCACAAATTTAAAGCGGAGTTTAAAAATATTGGTACCACTATGCGAGTCTAGGTTTCGATCCATAAAAGGATCTAGGTTTTTTCCCATGAAAAGAGTGCTCAACTTGTGGGGGTTTTTCAGAATATAAAATTATATCTCAAAGCCCACTCACTTCAGAGATTTGGTGTAGTTGCAGGGACTAAAGATATTGTTTCAAAAAATTTGATGGATAAAATCCTTTCTGTCACTTAGTTTTATTTGATGAGAAAATTAATATGCAATTATATTTCTAATCTAGGGGATACATGGGATCCCTCCCATTACTGATGGATATAATCCAGCAACATGGATGCTGGAAATCAGCACACCAGCTTGTGAAAAGAGGCTTGATATAGACTTTGCTACTGTATACAAAAACTCAGATCAATTCAGGTGATTCTAATATTTGGTTTGATTACTTGAGATCAATTCCTAGTAATTCTCATTCACAAACTTAAAGAAAGCTTGTAGCTGTAATTCACAGATTGTTACTCTTTGTCAGGGAAGTTGAAGCTCTGATTCATCAACTAAGTAGACCTGTTAATGGTACACAGCCACTGAGATTCTCTTCTAAGTTTTCACAAGATACTCTATCTCAATTTAGAATATGTTATTGGAAGCAAAATCTTGTATACTGGAGAAGTCCAAAGTACAATGCTGTTCGATTGTTCTTTACTACTATCTCTGCTTTAATACTTGGCTCAGTGTTCTGGAATGTTGGTTCGAGAAGGTAATTTGTAATTTTTTTTTCTCATGCATCTAAGGTCAAACCCAAATTACCTACATCCATAATTCTCTAGCCTTGTTGAAATAATGCTGAATTCTTTCTGATTGTCTTATTTATCTTTGTGAAGTTTTTTTTGTTATGGTTAGGGATATGTACTCATTAATAAAAGTACATGTTGCAGTTTTTAATCAAATAAACCTTTTATTCGACTGGCATCCCTTCTAATATTTGAAGCACAGATCATAATGTCTTTGCCTCCAGAGAGAAGGCTCTAATTCCAACTGTTATGCAATCTCTTGACACACTTTTAGTCATTTTTTATATGCACCACATGGATTCTTTTACGACCATTTCATAGGAAGTATTTGGTTATGTCATGATATTTCAATAATGATTAACCTTTTTACATGACTACTCCATCATAATCAGGTCCACTAAGTGAGCAATATATCCATTCCTCTAAATTTGTTTTCTGTATAGGGATTATATTCCCGTGCGTGGAGAACATCAGTATTGTATTTTTCTTCTTTCTGTCAGTAGATAGCTGTTTCAGGACATTTGCATTATCTACAAAAGTTTCCATGTTATTCTTTTCTTTCTTGTGTAAAACTTGTTTATATTATATAGGGAAACAAATCAAGACCTGTTTGTGGTTATGGGGGCTCTTTATTCTGCATGTTTATTTCTTGGAGTTAATAACGCTTCATCTGTGCAACCAATAATTTCCATTGAAAGAGCCATCTTCTACAGAGAGAAAGCAGCTCGAATGTACTCTTCATTTCCTTATGCAGCAGCCCAGGTTGGTCAATCCAGACTATCATAAAGTTTTAATGGTTTTATTTATAACTTGCAAGGTATTAAGTACTTAATATCATGTGTACAGGGTCTCGTGGAGATTCCGTATATAGCAACACAAACACTTATATTTGGTGTCATTACCTATTTCATGATTAATTATGAAAGAACATTAGGTAAGAGACAGCACTTCCTTTATGCATAATGTAGACTTTGCTACTATGTTTTAAATTGTTTTGGTGATGTCAAGAGACAGCACTTCCTTTATGCATAATGTAGACTTTGCTACTATGTTTTAAATTGTTTTGGTGATGTCAAAAGTGTTTTTATTATTTCAATGATGATGTATATAGTGTTAGAATTAATATAAAAAATATAATGAATTAGTCCTTAAATAGTTTCATAATAACTAGAGTTCTATTGGTAATAAGAAATGATGACATAAGTACACTTTGATGGTGTTGTGAAATAATTTTAAAATGGAGTTTTATGTATTTCTATTAGAAGCCATAAATTATCATTTTTGGTTATTTAATAAGTATTCAACTTAGAAAACTATTAAGCATATGTACTTTTGTCAATAAAAGTCTACTTTCAATGCAGCTAACAACTGGTTAAATGGTAGGGTAAAGAGAGGTATTTTCTGAAAGTAGGATCATTGTTCAATGGTAGATTAGAGTAAGCAAAACAATGTCCTGACATGTGTGTATTAATCTATACAGGGAAATTCCTACTTTACCTTGTCTTCATGTTCCTCACTTTCACGTATTTCACATTTTATGGTATAATGGCAATCGGATTGACTCCTACACAGCACCTAGCCCTCACTTTCACGTATTTCACATTTTATGGTATAATGGCAATCGGATTGACTCCTACACAGCACCTAGCAGCAGTAATTTCATCAACATGTTACTCTTTGTGGAATCTGCTTTCTGGCTTTCTTATTCCAAAGCCTGTAAGTAACCTTCTACCAGATTCGACAATGAATTTTGGTTCTTTTGCTTATATGTTGATGCTCATTGTTCTCTAAGTTTGTGAGTGATGGAATACTTTGCAAATAGTGGACCATTTGTCCTATTGTTTTCCTCGTGATTTACGGAGTGTTAATTTCGTCTGATCCCTTTTTCAGAGAATTCCTAAATGGTGGCTCTGGTTCTATTACCTTTCGCCGGTGTCATGGACCCTACGAGGCATCATTACCTCCCAACTAGGGGATGTGGAAACTCCGTTAGTTGGGGCTGGTTTTAAGGGAAGTGTGAAGGAATACCTTAAGGAGTCTCTTGATTATGAATCTGGGATGACAGCCATTTCTGTAGTGGTCCTTGCTTGTTTCTCCCTTCTCTTGTCTCTTGATTATGAATCTGGGATGACAGCCATTTCTGTAGTGGTCCTTGCTTGTTTCTCCCTTCTCTTCTTCACTGTCTATGCCATGTCTATCCGATTCCTCAACTTTCAAAAGCGTTGATTGAAGAATTATTTGTTCCTCAGACTTCAAACGTTCATCTGAGGATTAATACTTGTGCAACACCTGCAGCAGATTCAGTGTAATTGGAAGCATTTCTTATGGAAACACAAGAGAGCGAGCGAGCGCCTTTACGCCAAGTGGTAGGAGACGATGAACCAAGGACGTTACTCACTGCCCTTGTTCTGTCTGCCTGAACGGAGTGTCTTTTATTGCTACCCGCATTTTGCTGTATGCATCGGGGCTTGGTTGACGTAGTTTGTTTAATTAATCACAAAGCATTGTACACCACGTTTCTGGCCGGCGACCACATTTAGTTTCTCTATTGTCTCTGTTGATGTATTACTTTTGTTATCACCTGCGTAATGAACATGGAGCAATTCAGTTTCCCGATGTCAGGAATTGATGGTATCATCATCATAAGCGCAGATTTTATTAACAAACGGCTAGTTTTTGTGCATATGGAGAACCGAGCGTATAGGAGATACATTTCTCCTATATTTTAAAGGATGTCCGGCCACTATAATCTCCAAACGGCTCTCTCTAGACATGTGTAAAATATGTCATATTTTAATTGTATTATAAAAATAAATAATAAAAGAAATTAGATGGAAGTAAAAGGAAAAAAAATAATAATAAAAGGAGCAAAACATGCCTTAGAAAATAGAAACCGATGGAGGAGGAATGAGAGATGAAGAGACGTTGCATTTCTTTTATGTCGCTTCTACTTATTTTTTCAAGAAGTAAACAATAATGGTGTTTAGTAAAACATTGTTTTACATGCTTATTGAAATTGGTTTTATTTTTAAAGGGTGAGTTTCTTCTTTTTGTGGTTTTTATATCATATATGTCTTTCAGGTTTTTATAATACTACCTTATTTGTCCTAAAATTAAATTATATGTTTGTGTGTGTGCATGCTTGCGTGCAAGTGTGTACTTATACTCTCTTGTTCTTTTGGGCGTGTTTTAAAAATTTTTATGCTAAGGATTGTGGATATATTGGATAGTTTTTGTTAGGGGCTGTTTGGTTCGTTTTCTTCACTTTCCAAAAATTAATTTTCTTTACTTTCTTGTGTTTCCTTCACTTTCCTGAATAATATATCTTGTGTTTTTTTTTTGCCAAAAAATATGGGGTGAAAATACTTTCCACCATTTTTCTTAGTTAGGTTCAACTTGACAAAAGAAGAAAACAATTGACGTGTGAATATATACCCTCATTTTCTAGTGTTTGGTTCAAACTAAAAAATCAAGAAAACTTGATTGTGGTCACCATGGTAAGAATACCACCCATCATCATAGTTGTGCATATAAACATGAAAATTATGAACAAAATCAATTATCTTATGATCACAAGTGAATCAAATAGAAACAAAGGTTAAGCATCAACTGAAATCAAAGGCCAACCATTAAAGTAACAGCGGACAAAAAGAAACAAGTAGGAAGGGATTAAAAACAAATAAATGAGACTTGTCGCAGTATTGCGTCAAAAAAGCCTCGTTGTAATCCAATCCCCTTTTGACCTTTGGACTGAATAAGCGTTGTATCTCTCTCTATAATACTTCGCAATCCCCACTTCCTCTCTCTCTCTCTCTCTCTCTCTCTCTCTCTCCTTCTCATGCTCCTCTCCCGAAGACAACAATCTTAGCCCCACTCAGGCGCCACAAGCCCCCGCACGTGCTCCCCGACCCCAAAAAACCCTCATCAATCAAGCACGCCTCCAAAGACCGCCACACTAAGGCCGCGGCCGCCTGCCGCCACTTGCGTCTTCCAGCTGATCACCGCGAGCATCGGCCACAAATCTGACGGCGAGACCATGGGGTGGCTCCTCAACAAGCCGAGCCAGCCATATCGTCGCCCACAAGAACGATATCATCCTAGCCAACTTCTCCACCCTCAACGTCTCCCTCCGCAGCAGCGACAACCAAGTTTTCCCCCCTTTCTCTCCAGCATCGAAGGAATGGTACGACTACCATTTTTTATATCTACTTTCCTTCACTTTTCTCCGATTTCAGGTTTTTGGGGATAGAAATGTTAGGGGCACACCCTAAGTCACACCTCCAACCACACCTCCCCCTCTCATTTGCTACAGTACTCCGGGCCCCACATGAGTTTTTAAAATTTAAAAACTCATCGGGCCCCACATGAGTTTTTAAAATTTAAAAACTCATGTGGGGCCCGGAGTACTGTAGCAAATGAGAGGAGAGGTGCGGTTGGAGGTGTGGTTTGGGGTGTGTCCCTAACACCACTCTTTTGGGGACGGGAAACGACTCGCCTCCAATTCCTACGTGGTGTTTGTTTTCTCTTCCTCTTTTCTGTTTTCTAGTTGAGATGCACGTGCAATGCACGTAATTGAATATCATAATTATTTAAATTGATAAAAACAGAATAAAAATAAAAAAAATAAAGTTTTTTTGGGATTGATCATCAACTCAATAATCTCTCTCAAATAAAATATTATCATTGTTCCCTTCAACCCAGACTGTGGTCACGTGATCTATTATTTGTGTGTTGTAAACATATTAATCTAGTATAACATCTCTATTTATTAGTATCTTGAAGTCTTCAAAAAATAGGTGATCATTCAATTCGCAAAAGAATTTTGTATATGAATTTATTTGTAATATGTCCATTAAACTTTTAGTTGTGGTTTGACTCATATTCACGTTAACTTTTAGTTGTCATTTCATTTATATTTATATTATAATATTTTTATTCAATTTTATAGCTTATTCTCTGTATCATAGAAGTAAAACTAAAAGTATGAAGAATTATTTTCTTGCGAAATTAGAGCAGGAAGATTATAATATATTTTGCTATGTGTTCTAAATATAAAATTTTATTTTTTCTTTAATGCATGGACCCTATCAAATCTTATCCCAAATGATGTGAATAAAACATATTATTATAACTCACTTGCCTAGGGCAATTGTATTATATATAAAACATATAGCTCGTCTGAAATATCCACATCTACTAAGTGGATTTTACTGTTGTGAGATCAACATGTTAGAGGCTCGTTTTCAAACTTTCTGGCTCTATAAAAGACACAAGAATTTAGAGTGCATAGCTTATATATCATAAAGAACATATTGGTTCATGAAGAATTTTCCCTAATAACGATATTATTACAACAATGTTACTATTCAGTATTAAATTAATTCTATTATATAAGATTATATGATCCTTTTAGTAAATTATAAAGTATATATATGAAACCACGATGCTTATAGCCAGTAGTTGTGTTCCACAAAATATGTGAACTTTACATTGTAGTTTGCTATTTGTAGTACTGTTGGCAATGCTATTACCTTTCATCTTTATCCTATTATTCATACTTTTTCGATGTAAGTTCTCTTTTGCTCATCAATCAATTAGCTATATTTAGTTTTTATAATATCGGAGGTTAGAATATTCTCTTCTGTTTAAAAAGTATTGACATGATTTATTTAAAAAATATATACACATAGTAGCAATAGTATATACTTCAGTTCAACTCAAACAATTGACATGATTTATTTAAAAAATATATACACATAGTAGCAATAGTATATACTTCAGTTCAACTCAAACATTAGCTTGAAGTCATTTAAAGTGAGGTCATTTCTACGCTAGAATAGTGATATAGTGATTACACAGTCCAAAAGTCAAAGAAGAAATTTCTATGAAGAAAAAGTAATTTAATATGTTAAATTAAGAACTAATTTGTAAAATATACATGGGCAGTGCAGATAGCTATAGAAAGTATGGTATATATCTTCATAAAAATTTCATAGTGAGTGATCAACTACAATCATCTGAATTTAAGCATAAATAATTATTATTTTGGTTACTAATTTGATATGCGTAACTATGGAATAAATCTCAAGCAAAAAATATGAATTAAGATTGTATTATCCTGTAGGTAAATAAATAAATGTTATTAGAGCTCCTCTTTATATTAAATTTAAAAATAATAATTTAAGTTATTAAGCACCAAATATTAGCTCATGTGAGAAAGTAAAGTAATCTATGGTCTATATACATCTATACTTAATCAATCAAACATGTTAAAATTATGATGACCATAATCAAAATTATATGGTGGGTTCACATTAAATATAATTTATAAAATATAGTATATTAAAGTCAAAATCTGTTTAACCAATATATAGATTGTTTACAAAATTTTGCGTATATAAACTATACCGTCTAGGAATAGTGATGTGCACACTTAGCTATGGCCTAATAATCTTAATAACGACTTACTCTTCAATATCACGATTAATTGACGTATTTATGCATTACACTGAAAACACAATACAAATTTAGAAAACTACAAAATAAACACCTTAAAAAGTTTAAAAATTATAAAAAATACCCTAAAAATTATAATTTACAAATGCACAAAACTATTAAATATTACATTGAAATCAAGGAATTACAAAAAAATCATTAAAAATTTTTAAACTTTGGAGGGGTAATTTGTAATGTACTAAACTCTAAAGGTTTTTTTTTGTAAATTTTAAAATTAATAGATTTTTAATTAGTTATGTTCTTTTAAAAAAAAGTTATGGGAAATATTGACCATGAAAAGTTTTTCCAAAACCTATACTTTTAAAGGGTGTATGATATTTTTTGCAAAATTTTAATTTTCTAAGGGGTTGTAAGTAATTTTGCATATTCATTTTAGTGTCTATAGGTTATAAATTCTCATGGTGTTTTTTTTGTAAATTATGATTTTTAGGGGTTTTTTATAAAATTTTAAACTTATAGCCCTTTTCTACATATTGTAAATTATTTATAGACTCTTTATAATTCCTATGCTCAATTTCAATCTACTAATGAGTTTGAAATTCTCAGGATGTTTTTTATAAATTTTAAATTTTAAAGGTTTGTTTTTAATTTTTGAAACTTTAAAGGTGTTTTCTATAAATTATAAATTATGTATGAGATATTTATAATTCCTTTATTTTTAATGTATTGTTACGTTGGAAATTATCAGGATTTTTTATAAATTTTACAGTTTTGAGGGTTTTATTTTATAATTTGTAAAATATTCAGAGTGTGTATTGCAATTTTCATAAAATTTTGGGGGTTGTTTGTGTTATTTGTAGGTTTTTAGTGTGTTTATAGGTTTAAAATTTTCAAGGTGTTTCATATGAATTTTGAATTTTTAGGGTGTTGTTGTAATTTTCAAAACTTACAAGATATTTCCTCTGAAGTCCAAATTTTTTTAGTTTCTAGCTAGCATATGTTTTTTTAGATTTCTCAATGTATTGAAATAAGTAAAATTTATAATTTTTAAGATGCTTTAATAAACTTTTGAATTTGTAGGGGTTTTTTTACAATTTAA